CTTCCTTGTTATTTTTCAAGGTAGCATAGGACTCCATTGTGTGTATGTACCACAGCTTGTTTATCCATTCTTCAGTCAATGGGTACTTTGGCTGTCTCCATCTTTTTGCTAAACAGTGCACCTATCTATGAACATTGGTGTGCATTGTGAACATTTCTTCCTATGTTTGTTGGCTGCCGGGATCTCCTCCCTGGTAAAGTGTCTGTTCATATCCTGTGCCCATTTCTTAATTGGGTTATTTGTCTTATTTTTGTAGATGTGTAGTATTTTCCTATATATTTTAGAGATGAGTCCCTTATCCGATATGTCATTGCAAAAGATTTTTCCCAGTCTGTGGGTTCCCTTTTTACTCTCCTGGTGAAGTCTTTTGATGAACACAAGTTTTTAATTTTTAGTATGTCCCAATCATCTATTTTGTCTAGTTTTGTTTGTATACTTTTCAAAATGTGTGGCAGTCTGTATATGCCCTGGATTAGTGCCCTCATATTTGTCCCTATTTTTTCATTGATGATCATAATTTTGGGATTCACATGTAGATCTTTAAGCCATGTTGAGTTCATGTTTGTATATGGCGTAAGGCAAAGGTCTTGTTTCAGTCTTTTACATACCGCTTTCCAGTTCTGCCAGCACCATTTGTTAAAGAGATTGTCTCTTTCCTTTCCATATAACATTAGTAATTGTCCTTTCCATCTCTTTAAAGAATGTTGTTGGAATCTGGATTGGGATTGCATTGTATGTGTAAATTGCTCTGGGTAGTATTGCCATTTTCACGATGTTGAGTCTTCCTATCCAGGAACATGGTATGTTCTTCCACTTCTGTAGGTCTCTTTTGGTTTCCTGTAGTAATGCTTTGTAATTTTCTTTGTATAAATCCTTTGTTTCTCTGGTTATGTTTATTCCTAGGTATTTCATCTTTTGCATGGTATTGTAAATGGTATTGTTTTCTTAATGTCATTTTCATCGTTATTGTTGTTGCTATAGAGAAATCCAATTGATTTCTGTATGTTGATCTTGTACCCAGCCACTTTGCTGAATCTTTCAATGAGGTCTAATAGTTTTTTTACTGAGTCTCTGGGATTTTCTATGTATAGGATCATATCGTCTGCAAATAAGGAGAGTTTTACTTCCTCTTTGCCAATATGGATGCCTTTAATTTCTTTATCATGCCGTATAGCTCTGGCTAAAACTTCCAGCACAATACTGAATAGGAGCGGTGATATAGGGCATCCTTGTCTAGTTCCTGTTCACAGAGGTACAGTCCGTCTTGATAGTAATTATGCACTATTGTGTCACATGAGAGCTATCCTCATCTCCTTTCATTAGTCCCACCCAGACAGATTGGATACTACTTAGTGGAGATTCTACCTTCCCCCATGCCCTTTGAATCTAGGCTCCCCATTGAAAGCTTGTAAGCCAGTCACTTCTTGCCTTTGTAGCATCCCCCCACCCCTTGGGTCATGTTGTAGGTTAAATTCTTCAAATTGAGTGGATCAGATTACTCTTGTTCTCCTCTTTCTTCTTCTAGTTGAGTTCTGATTATCCAGCCATTGAAGCCAGGTCAAGTGGGTATTACCTGCAAGTGTGGGTATTCTTGTGCCGACACTTCACTTTCCACTCTAGTCCTCTGTGGCTATGTCACTGACTCTGGGCCCAGGAGTTCCCAGGTCTTGACAAACTGCTAGCCAACTTGATCCCCAGATCTGGCCAAATTGCTGCTTCACCCAAGTTCATAGGAGTGTACTGAACGTGGCTGGACTTAGCTCAAAGCTTCATTGCTGTTTTTCCCTCACTTCCCCTTATTGGTGACCAATGTGGTCACCAGTCAGAGCACATGTCTGCTTGTGTATTCCCACTGAGTCTCAGTCTTGAATGGGGTTTACCCTGAGGGGACCTGACCACTTGCCTTGATGTCTCCTGGGCAAGCAACTTGTTTGTTCTTGTAGTAGTCAGTTGGACTGCCATTATTGTTTTGTATTTTTCCTGTCGATCTTTCTTTCAAGAAGTATCTTCTGTTCTTCTAGCCGCTCCAGGCTGATCTGCTTGTCCTTTCAAGTGGAAATTTCCCTCCTCTGAAGATTCTGGATGGGATTCAGGATTCCACCTATGGTCTTATGTAATGCAGAGGCTCCACAGGAAGCCTCCTTCACTAGGCAAGTTATAGCCCCATTTTAGGTATTCCAATCAGTTATAGGCAGAAGACAGACTTAACAAGCTTTCTATGGTGATTTTTCTGGCTATTCCTTTCTCTCCACCTCAAGTGTCTATTTTATAATTGTATGCCAGGGAAACCAAGATTCAAAAGACAGCCAAGCATCTTAACATTATTTCCCCCCTTTTGCTCATTCCAACCATGTCTCAATCCCTGTATCCCAGAGTCCTGTTGTTCCAAGGTTGTGCATACATCATTATTTACCTCTGTACCATTTAGCCCATGCAAACCTGCCTAATTGTTTTCCCATCCACCTTGTTCTTCCATTCCCCTCCCACTTCTTGTATATTGCCCCCCCCCCAGCACCCAACTATCCTGTGTCTATTTCTGTGCTACACCTGTACCCTGTGCTACACCTTCCCCTCCCTCCCTTCATCCCACCCCCCATATCCCAGTAATCAGCAAAGAATACCCTTTCCCGCTTTTAGTATGGGTTCTTTTTCTTAGTCTTTTATAGTAGTGGTCCTATGCAGTATTTCTCCTTTTGTGACTAATTTCACTTCATAGTTCTCTTGTTGGTTACATTTTTGACCCTTGAACATAATCTAGTTGCCTAGATCAGGTATTTTATGAATTTATAGGCATACCTTGGAGATATTGCAGATTTGCTTCCAGACCACTTCAATCAAGTAAATACCACAATAAAGCAAGCCACACAATATTTTTGTTTTTCTATGCATATAAAGTTAACCTTACATTATCCTATAGTCATTAATATGTAGCCTGGCTCTGTGGGTTAATGCGCTGGACTGCAAGGTCAGTCTGAACCACAAGGTCGGTGGTTCAAGCTCACCAGTCGCTCCTTGGAAACCCTATACAAGGTTACTATGGGTTAAAACCAACTTGATGGCACTTCACAACACAACAATAGTCTATAAAGTATGAAATAACATTATGAGAAAGTCTGAAATATTTTGAGAATTACCAAAATGTGACAGAGACATTAATTCAGCATATTCTGTTAGAAAAATGATGCTAATAAATTTGCTCAATACCTCCAATTTGTAAAAAATGCAAAATCTACAAAGCACAATAAAACAAGCAAAATCTATGAAGCACAATAAACTAGGTATACCTGTATATAAGCATATCAAGTAATATCTACTCTTCTCCAGTGCAACAGAAATTGGAAAAGATAACAGCTCATTCAATTCTAATAATTTAATACCACCTTTGGTCTTCTTTATTAAGAGAGGAGAAGGTACAGAAATTAACAGGACTATAAGGAAACTTCTGTAAAGAAATGTTAACATCTCAACTTCCCCTACTTTCATTCCTTACTCAGTAGCCCCTACATATCGAAATTATAAAGAACCAACTCTAGCTATTTATGAAGAATACTTAATTTTTTCAAGTCTCAATTAAAATTTTTCAGAAGGAATTTTACACAGAAAACTAAGGAAAAAAAGAATACCAAAGAATGGAGGCAAACAAAAATCCAGATTATGGTCCCTTGCTGTTGTTATGTGTCAAGTCGGTTCCGACTCATAAGCGGCTCTGCATAGGGTTTCTGAGGAGAGACTGGTGGGTTTGAGCCTCTGGCCTTGCAGCTCAAAATGACCTTGCAGTCCAGTATGTTATCCTGCAGCGCCACACCAGGATGCTCCAATAGCATGCTGGCTCCTTAACATACTATGACCTTGACAAGACTAGTTTAGTGAACGCGTAACTCCATCACGTATCCCTCCTGACTTTTTGCCAATGTATGGTGAACCTGGAATCCTGGAATGGCACTGTGAGACAAAGCACTGGACCACAAGGTGGGTTTGAACTGAAAGATCGGCATTTCAAACTCACCAGCCACTCCCTGGAAACCCTATACCGGGTCGTTATGAGTCGGAACCAACTCAACAGTACTTAACAACAACAGCACAGGGAAGCTACTTTATTAAAGGATAATGTCCCTCCCTTGCCCTTCCCCTAGTCCACAGAAACTCTTGTCTTACTTCTATACTGCTTTTTGTTTCCCTCCTTTTGAGGAAAGGACTACAAACAGCCTGTCGTGAGTCCACTGAAACAAGTAGCAATAAGCTATTGCCACGCACTGACACAGCAACATAAAATAGTATTCACTATGTGCCTGAAGTCGAATACAACCCCAACAGCCCATTTCACTTGAGAATTGAGGAAATGGAGCTTTAAATGGGCAATGACTTACCCACATCAAGTTTCTAGGACAAGGAGTCTAGATTCAAACCCCAATGTGTGACTCTGAAGTCTAGACAATCCTGAATCTGGCCACAGGCATTGTAAAAGGGTCTGCAGCAGAGATGCACACCATTCTCACTTACAGTACACATACACACATATTGCTTAGTGTCAAGGTGTTGCAAAGAATTTTTCTCTTCAGTGTTTAATACTGGTAAGATAAAAACAACTGGCACAAGTCATCTACAAATTAAAGAAACAATCTACAAAAACGTTTGTTGTATGAGTAACACAACAAACAAGCCTCGGTATGGGAGAAAAAGAAATACTTAGTTTCCAAAATATGTAACTTTCAGCAAGGCCAGCAGTTTAGCAATTAAAATGATCTCATTACAATTTCTCTTCTGAGATGGTAATTTATGAAGTGCTGCATACACATACTTGCAAAGTCTGTTTTTAATTTTAGGAATGATTCACTTCAATCACATACAAAATAGCTTTCTGACTAATGGACAAAAAAAGAGTTAATACTGTTACCTCAAAATTTTTTAAAAGTCACACATGCATTCTTTTTGTTTTCAATGACAGTCACCCTCCTGAAGAATATCAATGAATGAAAATGCAAACACAGTTGCATACATACCTGGATTGGCTCCTGCTGTTTAAACACAGGACCAAGTTCAGGTAGAATTAATTTGATATATTCTTCTTTGGTGCATTCCTCAGCAATCAGTAGAACATTGGGCAAAACGAAAGGTACCATGTCAGGATTTACAAACTCTGAAGTCAAACAAGGTAAAATTCTCTGTACAATGACCCGCTGAAAGGCAAAATGGTAAAAGTCCAAGTTGGCACACGTTTGAGAATGAAATAGGGTACTAGTCTTAATCATGTAAGGATAGGAGGTACATAACCTAGAAATACCATGGCCATTTAGGGAACTTTCCTAAGACACTCCCCACTGATACATTTCTCCTCTAAATCCCTTCATTACTTTTGATTCATACCACACACAAGTTAAGCACATATACTGACAATTTTGTTCTCTTGTGCTATACCCTTATGGTTTTGATTTTATAGACTATTTACATAAAAGAGCAGAGAATATTTGTACAGTAAAAGTCAACATTTTCAACCACCAAGCTACAATGTACAATATAATTTCTAATAGTTAAAAATCAAACACTCGATCTTTGAATAAGCAAATATGTTCATGAAAGTCAACCCTATTTATTCTATACAAGCCTTGAAACTACAATCAGTAATTTTTAGTTTCCTTTTTTTCTTTCATATCTCTGTAGCACTTACACAAAGTGTTAGACAAACAGCAGGTAATCAATGAATCCCTGACAGATTAAACACTGAAAACAATCTTTGCAATTAGGAATTACAACCAACTTTCTAACCTGTGCCTCTTCTTTAGCATTCGCCAGCATTTTCCAGATAATAGTACATTCATGCTTTTATATGTCAGAAGGAGAGTTAAGGAAATTAAAGAGCCCTGCTGGCAAAGTGGGCAACTGACTGCAAGGTCAAAAGTTCCAATGCACCCCTCACTCCCTGGGAGGAGGATTTACAGAACCCTCATGAACAGTCCTACTCTATCCTGTGTGGTCGCTGTGAGTCAGACTCAGGTTGATGGTAGTGCATTTGGGGTTCAGGATCAATAAAAGAATCCCAAGGTACAACCAAAAGGTTGGGGGCTCGAATCACCCAGTTAGTTCTGAGGGGGAAAGGCCTGGTGATCTGCTTCTGTAAAGATTACAGCCAAGAAAACCCTATGGGATAAGTTTTGTCTATCATGTGGGGTCACTATGAGTAGGAAATGACTCAGTGGTGCCTAACATCACCAGCACCAATAGAAAAGTACCTGATGTGGCAGTGATTTACACAGTAACAGCTTATGGCCTCTTCTGACATTTAAGGTTCAAGCTCTGTCTATGCATAAGCAATATTCTTCTCATTTTTTATCCAGTTTAATGATTTTTTTAAACATGCAAAAGGGATCAGTAGCCTTTTGGCTATAGCTTATAGCCTTTCAAAGAGCTTCAAAACATTTGTGGAAAAATGGAATTAAGAGATAATGGGATGTTTCAACTAACTTTTAAAGGCCCTTCGTATACTCATTTATACACTGAAAATCAAAATTCTTAATTTCTTTGGAAGAGTTATTATAGCAAGCGAAAAGTATACTTTAAATTCTAAAATCCTGACTATAATCAGAAATGGAATAACAACAGACCTTGGGAAGCTTTGGAAGAACCTTTGGCAGTCCTTTGAAAAACTGTGATTTCTGAAGATTATCTCTTTGGCATAAGGTGTCAAAATACTGCATTGTTACTGCACCAACATCATCAAAGAAAGGAATCTAAAAATAGGAAATAATTTTGATAAATAAAAACATCAGAGTACTTCTATTTGAAACTGTCACAGCTTGCTAAATAAAGCTAAGGAAAATTTTAATATAGAAATTCTAATGATAAAAACCAGGATAAAGCAATAATTAATTTTACTTTCAAGTTCAAGTCATAAGAGTCAGTACCTGTGAGTTGGCTAGAAGTTAACATTCTATTAACCACTTAAATACTCAGAATCAAGTAAGTGCCTAGTGGGCATGTTGTTGTTAAGTGCCATTGAATTAATTCTGACTCATAGTGGCTCAGTAAAGGATTTCCAAGGAGTAGCTGGTGGGTTTGAGCTGCCAACCTGTGGTTACCAGTCCGTTGCTAATTCTACAGCACCACACCAGCATAAAGAGTACCAATAATCTGTGAAAACTCCATGCTTACGAGCAAATGAAAGTGGAGTGTCTCAGTGTGGCACTTCTGCACACCTGCCTGTGACTCTGAGGACTCTGTTCATTTGAGATGTTAACTTCACATCACAGCAACAATGGATACGAAGTATTTAAGAGTTTTAGACAGCTAATATGCAGAAATTTCAGTATGTTCAAGAATACAGATATTACTTGATAACTATAGTCTACTCGATTTTGTTTTAGAAGCATTTAACCCACTTTAGGGAGCATGGTGGCTTCATATGATAAGCACTGGACTGTGAACCATACGGTCTGTGGTTCAAGCTCACCAGTCGTTCCTTGGGAGAAGGATGAGCTGTCTGCTCTGAGTAGATTAAAAGCCTCAGAAACCGACACAGGGTTGCTATGAGTCGGAACCGACTCGATGACACTTAACAATCTACTTTTGGACCTTGTGTGGCATTGTCGGGTAAGTATGAAACTGCTAACCACAACACCAGCCACTCCATGGAAACTCTCTACAGCGTCTCTATGTGTCAAAACCGACAAAACAGCCCTTAACAACAACCACACAATCTACTTTAGGAGTCTTGGTGTGGTACTACAGGATAAGTACTGAACGGCTAACTAAAAGGTCAATGGTTCAAACCCACCAGCTGCTCTTCAGAAACTCTGTACAGGGTCGCTGAGTCAGAACTGATTTGACACTTAACAACAAGAGCAATGTAATTTTTGTTTGTTTCGTTTTTGACCCTTTCCCCAAGGCAGAAATGTGGACGCACACACTCACCTTTGTCATTTGGTCTGCATCTGGTCTCACAGCGGGAGTGACATTCAACAGCAGCTTCACGTGCTCACGGACTTCCTCAGGAACACTAGTAAGTGAACTAGATCCTAAACGACTCAGCTATTCAAAACAGAGATAATAATCAATGGGAATATAAAATCATTTAAAAAATAGTAATTTAAAAAAGATATGCAATAATATTGAGAATAGTCTAAGAATCCTTAAAAAAAAAATTTACCTGAAAATATATTTGTAACAAAGACATTCTGGAAATGTATCCTACAGAAGCTGAGGTATACAAAAGAATAAAAAAGAGAACTTACAGACTAGGAAAAAATTTTTGCAAAGACTTAACAGACAAGAGACGAAACCTCTAAAATTTATAAAGAATGTCAAACATATTAACAACAAAAAGACAACAATATAATTTAAAAAAGGGCAGTGGATATAAGCAGTCACTTCACCAAAGACATTAAGGCAGTCAGTCAACAAACACATGAGGAAATGCTTGAGATCATTAGCCATTCTAAAAATGCAAATCAAAACAACAATGAGATATCATCTCATTAACGTTGCTATCGATATCCTTGGAGTTGGTTCTGACTCATAGAGCCACTACATAGGGTTTCCTAGAAGCAACTACTATGTTTGAACTGCCAACCTTGCAGTTAGCAGTCCAGTGCTTCTCCTACGGTGCTATGCCAGGACTCCATTTCATTAATAGCAAAGTTCAAATAAAACAGAAAACAACAAATGCTGGTAGAGGTGCACAGACTCTGGAGCTCTCACACACATCTGTGTAAATGTAAAACGATGGCAATCAGTATGGTGCTGGTTTCCCTAAAATGTTGGAAATAAAAATACCATGATCCAGCAATCCCATTACTAGGTACCTATCCTAGGAAACGTTTAAGTGCCGTGAGAAGAACACATAAATGTAGATCCATGTTCACTGCAGCATTATTCTCAATAATAAGATGGAAACAATTTAAGTGTCCAACAACAGAAGAATGGATAAGCAAACTATGGTACAAAACATGGAACACCATGTATCCATTAACATGAATGAACAGGGAAAACATTATGTTCATTGAAATAAGTCAATTGCAAAAGGACAATAATGTGTGGGGCCGCTATTATTAAAAGTCCAATAAAGGTTTACAGGTTTACACACAAAAACAGTCAGTCAGAGGTGGGAAATAGAGTCACTAGAGAGTAGACACAGAGCAACTTGGGTGAAGTGAAAGGTAATACACACTAAAGGGGAGATCAGCGTAAAATGATCAAGACAAAGAGAAAACTGATAGGAGCACAGAATGCAAAGGTAAATATTATGACATATCAGGTCCGGCAATGACAGTAACAGTAATATCCCTAAGAGTAGGTAGACAGACACACAAGTTGAACAAGTGTGGAGAGGCAAATGGGATTATGGGATTATACCCACAATCCCACAAATATGTGTTGCAAATATGTCCATGAATATAGTAGAGCACACAGGGGGCAAAGTTAGGAAAACGTCTTTGTTGTTGTGTTGTTAGATGCTGTCAAGTTGGTACTGACTCACAGCAACCTAATGTATAACAGAAAGAAACACTGTCTGGTCCTGCAACAATCTCACAATTGTTGCTACACTTGAGCCCATTGCTGCTGCTACTACCATGTCAATCCATCATGTTGGGGGTCTCCCTCTTTTTACCTTCATTTTACCAAACATGATATCTTTCTCTACATACTGCTTGTTCCTGACATGTCTGAAGTATGAGAGCCTAAGTATGGCCATCGTGGCTTCGAAAGAACATTCTTTCAACACAGACTTGTTTATTCTCTAACAGTCCATGGTACTTTTAATAATCTCCTCCAACACTAAAATGTATTCCTGATTCATTGTCCAACTTTCACATGCATATGAAGCTACTGAAAATACAACGGCTTGTGTCATGTGCACCTTAGTTCTCAAACCGACATCTTTGTACTTAAACACTTTAAAGAGGTCTTGTGTAGCAGATTTGCCTAATGCAATACATTGTTTGATTTCTTGACCGCTGCTTCCATGAATGTTTCATCAAGCAAGGTTGTATCATTTGCATATCACAGGTTGTTAACGAGTCTTCCTCCAATTCTGCTGCCACGTTCTTCTTCATGTAATCCAGCTTCTCATATTATGTGTTCAGCATAAAGACTGAATAAGTATGCTAAAAGAATACAACCCTGGCACGTATCTTTCCTAATTTCAAACCATTCAGTGTCCCCTTGGTATAGTGGAACAACTGCCTCTTGGTATGTATAGGTTCCTCATGAGCACAATTAAGTGTTCCGGAATACTCAGTCTCTGAAATGAAAACTTTGTAGTAATAATCAAACACCCTGAAGGAATTAGTCGACTTCCAGTTTGGGGCAGGGAAAGCAGAGACAGACAGTGAAAACTCCTCTGCCAAAACCCAAATAAAAGCAGAGAAAGAGCTGTCCGCAGAAAAACTGCAGAGCTTTGGATCTTGTTTAAGGTTCCAGGCACCAGTTCCCAGCACCCACTGAGAAGAAATCTACAGGTAAAGAGCAAAATATGGTGAGTTCTACAGCCCGGCAGCCCAGCCTGGCAGCCAGAAGTTCTCAGGCCAGAGGGCGGGGGCCACAGCCAAGCAGAGGCAGTGACCCAGAGCTAGAAGCTGATAAGCAGCACCCCTGAAGGGAGAGGTGTGACCGATTTTTCATCTTTCATTTTTCACATCTCTCTCCTCTTCACCCCGAGTGCATCCCTGCTGCACAGCCCAGACGCCTTCAGGTGGGCAGGAGCACACCTCCAAAAGGGTCCAGCATTGCACCCACAGTTTTCCAAGGGCACAGAGAGGAAACCTGCCCCATACTTTACCTAGGTGGGACCCTTTGCACAGCAAAGACCAGTGAACAGTGTCAATCACAATTTTATTTTTGTTTCTGATTGGTTTCTGTCTCCACTTTTATATTGTTCCTGTCTTTGGTCCTTTTGGCCTCACTCTTCTCCCAGGGGTGGGAACTTTCTCCCCCTACCTTACCCAAGAAGAGACAGTAACTGTGCCCATATAGCCAAGCTACAAGTATACCCTGTAGTACCCCACCATCTGGACAAGAGCCAATATCAGCTGCTAGGCATTACATGTGAAAAGGGAAGCCTAGCTTCAGATCATATCCACCAGGAGACGCTCAGCAAGCTTATCAACAAAGCAACATACAGCCATTTAAGCATTAAAAACCCACATAACTGCTGAAAATGTCCAAGAAAACACAATTAAAGATCTCAACCTATGTCCAAAAACAGAAAAAAGTAACTGAGACAAATGAGCTGAAAGCAAACACAGACTTTCCAGTAGAAGAGCAGGCTCTGGATCTGCCTGAGAAGGAATTCAGAAGAATGGTATGGAAACAAATTCAAACGCTCTGAAAAGGGGTGGAGGAAAATAAGGAAGAAGTCAGGAAAGAGCTACAGAAACAATCAAACCAGATAGATACAGCATTGGAAACAATCCAAAACCTGCAAAAAGAAGTCCAGATGATTAATAATAAAACATTAGAAATGGACAATACACTGAAAGGGCAAAGGAGCAGAATGGAAGAGATGGAAGCCAGAACCAGCAATCTGGAAGACAAATCTCTCAATACTGATAAGATAGGAGAGCAAGCAGAAAAAAGGATTAAAAAATCTGAAGAGAGTCTAAGATTCATGCTGGATAACATAAAGAGGAATAACTTAAGAATACTGGCATTCCAGAACAGGAAGAATCACAGAAGTCCACAGAAGAAATAGTTGAAAAGTTACTGGAAGAAAAGTTTCCTAACATCTTGAAGGACAAGAAGATAGACATTCAAGAAGCTGACAGAACCCCAGGAATGATAGACCCTAAAAGAAAATCACTGAGACATATCATAATCAAGCTCTCCAAAATCAAAGACAAGGCGAGAATCCTAAAAGCTGCCAGGGAAAAGAGAACTGTCACCTACAAAGACAAGTAAATCAGATTAAGCTCTGACTTTATGCAGCCAAGAAGGCAATGGGGAGACATATATAAAACCCTAAAAGAAAAAAAACTGCCAACCAAGAATCGTCTATCCAGCAAAACTGTCAAATACAATGGTGCAGTCACAACATTCCAGGATAAACAGAAGCTAAGAGATTTTGTTAAAGCTAATCCAGGGCTTCAAAACATCCTAAAGGGAGTTCTTTGGAATGAAAACCAGAAAGAACAGACAACAACCAGAGATTGACAGACATGGCACAATTGTTATGTTTGAGCACACTGTTACTGATGCTTTGTCACCCCATCTTGTTGGGGATCTTCTTTTTTTTTTTTGCTGATCCTCCACTTTATCAAGCATGATGTCCCTCTTCAGGAACTGATCCCTCCTGACAACATGTCCAAAGAACAAGAACGAAGTCTCCCCATCTTCACTTCCAAGGTGCGTTCTGGCTGTACTTCTTCCAGCACAGATTTGTTTGTTCTTTTGGGAGTATATTTTGGCAGTACTTTCAATATTCTTTGCTGACACCATAATTCAAATGTATCTACCTATGAGTCGGAACCAACTCAACAGCACTTAGCAACAACAAACAGACTGAAATAGTACAGTGAAGGAAAACAACCCTGGCAAACGCCTTTCCTGATTTTAAACTATCCAGTGTCCCCTTGTTCTACTGGAACAACTGCCTCTGGATCTATGCACAGGCTCTGCATGAGTACAATTAGTGTTCTGATATTCCCATTCTTTGCAATGTTTCCTTTACTTTGCTATTATCCACAATATTAAATGTCTTTACATAGGCAACAAAACACAAATAAGTATCTTTCTGGTATTCTCCAATTTCAGTCAAGATCCAGCTGACGTCAGCAATGATGTCCTTTGTTCCATGCCATCTTCTGAATCTGGCTTGAATTTCTGGAAGTTCTCCGTCAATGTATTACTACAATTATTTTTTAATTATCTCTACCGTATTGAAAATCAAAGACAGAAGATGAGACGAGTTGTTGTGGGATGACATCAAGAATAGCATACATGAAGAAAGCAAAGGTCATTTAAAAGGAAAGGTAAGAGGTAATAAAAAAAAGAGAGACCAAAATGGATGTCAAAAACCAACAAACCTGAAAACCAAACCAAATCTAATGCCACTGAATCGAGTCTGACTCATAGTGACTGACTCTATGTAGGGTTTCTGAGGCCTTTATATCTTTTTTTGTTGTTGTTTTGTTCTTTTTTTTGTTTGTTTTATTTTTGGCCTTTATATCTTTATAAGAACAAAAAGCCTCCTCTTTCTCTCCCAGAGTGGCTGATGGATTTGAAATATTGACCCCTGTGGTTAACAGCCCAACACATCCCACTATGCCACCAAGATCTTTGGATGTCAAAAGACACTAAAAATTCATACTGAATGTAGAGCAGCTAAAGCACATGAAGATATGATCAAGTAAAAAAGGTAAACAGAAATTTTAAAAGGGCAGTTTGAGAATACAAATTTAAGTATTATAATGAAACGTGCAAGTTAAGATGCCAAAAGGAAATAACATACTCAACATTTCACAAACAGAAAGAACTGAAGAAAAAACTCAAGCCTCAAGTTGCAATACTGAAGGATTCTATGGGTAAAACAGTGTTGTTGTTGTTGTTAAGTACCGTGGAGTTGGTTCCGACTCATAGTGACCCTGCACAGGGTTTCTGAGGCTGCAAATCTTTACAGGAGCAGAAAGCCTCATCTTTCTTCCGCGGAACAGCTGGTAGTTTCGAACTGCCAACCTTGAGGTTAGCAGCCAGATTCGTTACCACTACACTACCAGAGCTCCTTTAAAACAGTGTAGGAAGTGTCAAAAGATGGAAGGAATCCAATGAGTCACTATACCAGTACGAATTTGTCAGAATTTCAGGAGATAACACATGATCAAAACCAACAGCATCAAAGGAAAACCTCCAAGCTACAGCAAAGGCGCTAGCAAAAACCCAACCTCCAGGGATTGATGGAATATCAATTGTCATACAAATGCAATGCTGTAAGTGCTCACATATCTAGGCCAAGAAAAGGGGAAGATTGGCTATCTGTCCAACTGACTAGAAGAGATCCATACTTGTGCGCATTTCAAAAAAAGTGATTCCATAGATTATGGCAATTATCAAACAATTTCATGAATATCACACACAAATAAAATTATTCTGAAGATAATGAAAAAATGTTTGCACAAGTACATCAACAGGGAACTGCAAGAAATTCAAACATTAGACCTTATTATCTATAAAATTAATTCTATGAAATTGAATTATATAAATTTAAAATAGGAAACATCTCATTGTAGAAAATTTTCTGAACACATTTCAGAAAACACAAAATTAAACAGTTCATCAAATATTTAAAACAACCAAATGTTTATAGACAAATACCTGATCCAACTGCCTACTGAAACTCTTGTAAATATCTTGCTTGTTGACTTCAAATACAGGTTTCCCTTTATTAAATAGAGCATACATAACAGTTCCTAAAGAATACATATCACTGGCTGTTTCACAGCTCACAGAAAGTATGTATTCAGGAGCCAAATATTCAGGATTTGGAAGACACAATGATGGTAAATTTGGGTCCCATTCTTTGCAAGGAAACTTAGGCTATAAGAGAAAGAAAAAGAATTTTATGAATTAAATATTTTAAATGAAAACAAGCAGCTATTAAGAGGCAGCAAACGACCCATAAATTCACACATTAGTCATGCAAATAAAAATGCAACCACCAAATTCAATTCTAAAATTCCTGAAACTACAGATCTGGAAAATGCAAGTATCAAATAAGATCTCTTAAAACTCTGAGGTCAGAGTTTTCTTCCAGAAGACAGATCATCACTATAAAGATGTGGTGTGGATGTGGGAAGAAGTGGTATATGAGAGGACTTCAAAAAGTTCATAGAAAAATGGAATTAAAAGGTAAGAAATTTTTCCACAAAATTTCTGAAGTACCTTTGGATATTTTTTCACACACAGGATTCATGTTTAATGGGTTAAAATAGTGCTTTGAAACCTTTTATTCCCCTAATTAGCCAAGTAATTTAGTTGTTGTTGTTAAGTGCCATCAAGTCAGTTTTGACTCACAGTAACCCTGTATAGGGTTTTCCAAGGAGTGGCTGCTGGGTTTAAACCACCAACCTTGTGAAGTATTGGTCATCCAGTGCTTATCCTATAGTGCCATACCAGGATGTCAGTTACTGGGTTTATAAAGTTATTGTAAGGATTAAAGAAATATGCAGAGGCGAGACCTAATATTGTGCATGATCCATTAATATATATTCAAACAGATTCATCCTGCTCCTATTTTAAAATGACTGCTTAAATTATGAATCAGCTCAAGGTCAAATTATGGTCGTCCTTAACAAGTATATACAGTAAAAACCTAAAATAAAACAAGATGCCATATCACAAAGGGCATTCCAAACCATTAGGACCCAGTCAACACAAAACATTGCTAATATACTGCAGTCTCTCCCTAAAGACAAAGAGGCAGGTGTATAATCACTGAGAACAGACAAGATGGAATCAGAAAGACTTGGTTCAAATTCTATATGCTATAGCATTTATCAACTGCCTAACAGGTTATTTACTATGTTAGTCCTTAACAACTTAATTATTCCTGTACCTCATCTTAATTATTCCTATATCGCACTAAGTTGTGAGAATTAAGTAAATACATGAAGAATGAGCAGAAAATGCTTCAATACATGTCAACTATCATCATTATTTTTTAAGTTATTAATGGAAGATTCTATGGTCTAACAAGTTGGAGAAACACTGATATAAATTTACAGTGTGCATTTAGGTTCCGACAAGAAAAGACAAAACAAAAGACTATTTAACTCAACAGTTGTGAAACTGGTTTAACTGGCATCCTTTTATCAATTAAGATGAATAACTGTATAACTAATGAACTGAAGAAAAAGCTTAATACAGCCAGGTCCAACAAACAATAGAAAATTCTGACAAAGCAGTACATTTCAACATACCACTGATCCTACACCACTATATACATCAGATGCATAAATTCTCTACTTCACTCAGGTGCTAACACAAATTTCCACAGCTTTAAAGCGGAGACTAAAATCTTCATTACCTCTTGTTCAGAAGGATTGGTTGAAGATACACAAAAATCAAAGCCCATTATTTTCCAGGCTCCACTTTTATTCAAGATTATATTTTCAGGAGTAACATTTCCATGAACCATTTTCACACTGCTATGCAAAAATGACAATCCTTCAGAAACCTAAAAACGGGGGAAACCAGACATTTTCACATTAAATGTGTATAATTACACAAATACTTATAAAAATTACAATTATCATTGCTGCTTCTCCTTTTATGCTGACATAGAAATGAACTTGCCATTGGAATCCTGGTGTGGTGTTGTAGAATAAACACTGGACTTCTAACCACCAGCTGTTCTTCAGAAACCCTATACAGGGTTGCTATGACTCAGAACCCAATTGATGGCATTTAACAACAACAAAATTTCATTGCAAATGCAAAAAAATATATATATCTTTAACTGCCAGGAAATTTAAGTATTGTTGTTTTGTTGTTTAGGTACCAGTGAGTCACTTGCAACTCACTGACCCTATACACAACAGAACCAAAACCCTGCCTGGTCCTATAACAGCCTCACAATGGTTATGTTTGAGCACACTTACTGCTACTTTGTCACCCCATCTTGATGGGGATCGTCCTCTTTTTTTTACTGATCCTCCATTTTACCAAACATGATGTTCCTCTCCAGGAACTGATTCCTCCTGACAACATGTCTAAAGAACAAGAACAAAGTCTCCCCATCTTCACTTCCAAGGTGTATTCTGGGCTGTACTTCTTCCAGCACAGATTTGTTGTTCTTTGGGGAGTCTATTTTGGCAGTACTTTCAATATTCTTTGCCAACACCATAATGCAAATGCATCAATTCTTCTACAGTTTTCATAATTTTTGTCTAGCTTTCACATGTATATAAAGCAATTGAAAAAACCATGGCTTGGGTCAGACACAGCTCACTGCTCAAACTGACATCCTTCAACACTTTAAACAGGACTTGTGCAGCAGATTCATCAAATGTAATATTTCTTTTGAGTTTCTGAATGCCACTTCCATGAGCATTGATAGCAGATCCAAGCAAAATGAAGTATTTTACAACTTTTCTTTACTTATCATGATGTGATTTATTGATCCAGTGGTGAGAATTTTCATTTTCTTTACAATGAGGGGCAATCCACACTAAAGGTGATTGTCTTTGATCTTCTTCAATAAGAATTTTAAGGCCTTTTCCAAGCAAGCAAGGTTGTATCATCAGCATATTATTGTTGTTGTTATGTGCCGTGCAGTTGGTTTCGACTCATAGCGACCCTGTATAGGGTTTCTGAGGCTGTAAATCTTTACGGGAGCAGAAAGCCTCATCTTTCTCCCACGTAGTTATTAATGAGTCTTCCTCTAATTCTGATGCCATGTTCTTCTTCATATAATTCAGCTTCTTGGATTATGTGCTCACCAAACAGACTGAACAGTATGGTGAAAGGATACAATCCTGGAAGCACACACCTTTCCTAATTCTATTTAGTAACCCCTTGTTTTGGTTGAACAACTGCCTCTTGGTTGATGTACAGGTTCCTTATGAGCACAATGAAATGTTCTGGAAAATCCATGTTTTACAATGCTATTCACAGTTTGCTTGCAGCCGTTTCTGTATTACCTTGAGTACAACTTTACTTGCATGGGATATGAAAGATACTGTTCAATGATTTCTGCATTCTGTTGGGTCACCTCTCTTTGGAATAGGCACAAATATGGATCTCTTCCAATCAGTTGGCTAGATAGCTGCCTTCCAAATTTCTTGGCAGAATTGAGTGAGTGCCTCCTGTGCCACCTCACTTTCTTGAAAGACTTCAATGTTTATTCCATCAACTGCTGGTGCCTTGTTCTTTGCCAATTCCCTCAATGCACATTGGACTTCTTCCTTCAGTATCATTTGCTCTTGACCGTATGCTACCTCTTGAAATGGTTGTACATCAACCATTTCCTTTTGGTACAGTGACTCTGTGTATTCCTTCCATCTTTTTTTGATGTTTTCTGCATCATTCAATAATTTGCCCAGAGACTCTTTCAATAACGAACGTCGAGGCTTGAATTTTTTCTTCAGTTCCCCAGCTTGACAAATGCTGAGAGTGTTCTTCCCCTTTAGTTTTCTGACTCCAGATCTTTGCACATTTTGTTATAATACTTGACTTTGTCTTCTCGAGCTGACCTTTGAAATTTTCTATTCAGCTCTGTACCTCCTCCTTTCTTCCATTTGCTTTAGCATATCTAAGCTAGATAATAAATTTTAGTGTCTCTTCTGACATCCATTTTGATCTTTTTCTTCTTTCTTGTCTTCTTAATGACTTTTTGCCTTCTTCCTATATGATGTTCTTGATGTATTCCCACAAGCCTACTGGTCTTCGGTATTTAATCTTCGGTATTTAATGCTTAATGTATCAAATATGTTATTCAGATGATCTCTAAATTCAGGTGGGATATATTCAAGGTCATATTTTGGTTCTCGTGGATTGCATAGCCTTCAGTATGGACTGCATTTTAATGTAAAGAAAGTAAAAGTCCTTAACACTGGACCAATAAACAACATTCGTATCAATGAAGAAAACATTGAAGTTGTCAAGGACTTCATTTTTCTTGGATCAACCATCAACACTCATGGAAGCAGCAGGTCAAGAAATCAAACGACGTATTGCATTAGGCAAATCTGCTGCACAAGACCTTTTAAAGTGTTGAAGAGCAAAGATGTCAGCTTGAGGACTAGGGTGTGCCTGAGCCAAGCTATGGTATTTTCAATAACCTCATATGCATGAAAAAGCTGAACAGTGAATATGGAAGATCACAGAAGAATTGATGCTTTTTGAGTTATAGTGTTGGAGGAGAGTACTGAAAGTTCCATGGGCTACCAAAAGAACCAACAGATCTGCATTGGAAGAAATGCAGCCAGAGTGCTCCTTGGAGGCCAAGATGGCCAAAATTCATCTCTTATATTTCAGACACATTTTCAGGAGGGACCAGTTGCTGGAGAAGGATATCATATTTGGTAAGGTCGAGGGTCAGATAAAAAGAGGAAGACCCCAGCGAGATGGACTGGCAAAGTAGTAGCATCAGTGGGTTCAAGCATGGCAACAAATGTGAGGCTGGCCCAGGACCAGGCAGTGTTTCACTCTGTTGTACATAGGGTCTTCTATGAGCCGGTACCGACTCGATGGCATCTAATAACAACATCCATAGTTTGTTATGCTCCACAGTCAGAAGTCTTTGCATAGTTAATAAAGCACATGTTTCTGGCATTCTCTGTTTTCAGCCAAGATCCATACAACACCAGGAATGATATTCTTAGGTCTATGTCATCTTCTGAATCTGGTTTGAATTTCTGGCAGCTCACTGTTGATGTACTACTATAACTGCTTTTGAATTCTCTTCAGTAAAATTTTACTTGTGTGTAATATTAATAATATTCGATTACTTCTGCATTCAGTTATTTCCACAAAGAAAGGAAAAATCTCAAAAGTAAACATAAAAGGATCTTCTAAAAGTTCATGGAAAAATTTAATTATCTTTTAATTCCATTTTTCCACGAACATTAAAATGTCTCTCCATATAAAAATGCTAAAACATACCTCTTGATAGCTACTCAGTAATTTCCTTAATGCTGTTACTTTTAAATTTGTATTTTTTTAATTTCAAAATAATGTGTTGTTCATGAAATGCACACATGGTTAAACCATGGGGCCCTCCCAACCTCCAGGTACTCCCCTTCTCCAGGGTTGCCAATGTTTTCAGTTTCATACATTTAAAATATAATTTAAATATAACAATTACACTGTAGAAATCAATTCTAGAACAAAGAAATAATTTTTAAATTACTAAAAAGGTCCTAACAGTTTACAAAGTCAACATGATTAATAAACTTGAAATAGCCAAAGATGATTTTTTAAAACAGAAACTCTTTTCATATGTTGAATAAACATACATACCTGAAGCAAACCATATTTGGTTTCTACATCATAAAGTTTATAATCCTTAATGTCTGGCGATATTTGGGAAGGTAGGTTTTCCCAGTTACCAAGAACGTTGGCTAAACTGGCAAAAACTGGTTCTGTACAAAATGCCAAGCAATCCCTGTTTAAAAAAAAAAAAAAGTTACTTACTATCATTTTTCCACATTATCAAACATTTAATATGTATGTGTATATGTGCGTGTGTGTGTATATACACATAAATTTGAAAGGTGTCACAATCTCAAAATTTTAGATTTCGATGTTTGATTTTAAAGTATTGCTCTTTAATGTACAAGGTATAAAAATTCAGAAAACAATACTAACATTTAATAAGTCTGATACAGTAATAACCAAGAGCTCACACTCTGAAGAGATACCTGACTTCAAAGTCCCAGCAGCCCTATTCTCTGCTTTGGTGACAGTGGCCAACTGTGAACCTCATTTGCCCATTTGTAAAATGGTGATGATACACCCATCATCCTGCATGGTTGCTGTGAAGACCGAACCTGATAATGCACATATAGTACACAGCACAGCCTTGCACATTAGGCTCAATAAATTCTTACTGCTGCTATTATAATAACCAAGTAAGGTTCAAATTTTAACATTTTAGGTCATGGTTTTTGGCTCTGGCAATGAAGCATTAAAAGGTTGTTGTTAAGCGCCACTGAGTTGGTTCTGACCCATAGAGACCCTATATGGGGTTTCCGAGGAGCAGCTGGTGAGCTTGAACTGCCAACCTTGCAGTTCAAACGGCTTTGCAGTCTGGTGCATTAACCCATAGTGCCACGCACTGAAAAAACAAAGTTACACCACACCTCTGTGCTTGTGTGGCAATTATGTCCTTTGAGATTTCATCTGTCTACAATACCTGAATAAGCTTTCTTTCGCTTTGAACCCATGTTTTCAAATGAAAGCATATGTAGCTCAATATATATATAAGATAAAGTCAAAACTGCTTAAGAGCTGAGAGAATGAGCCACATTGTCCTGTTTGTTCAGTCATCATCAAGAATGGTATCTTGTTCTTTATTCCCAGCACTCAGCTCGTTAACACAATATACACAAGGCACATGCTGTTGAATTGTTGCTGTTGTCGTTAAGTTTGTCCAGTCGGTTCCCACTCACAGCAATCCTGCTGCACTATTATATAGGTGAATCGCTCTATTACTCAAATCTCTCCTCCTATGGTTTTTCATGATTCCCAGGACTTACTTACTGTAGCAAACTTCTTTATTTCTTTTTGTACTAATGTACAAATCATACTTGGTCACAGATGCTTATGCCTCCATACATACTTAGACTGTGTATCCAAGCTTCTAGGCCTTAAGGTCTTTAATGAGTCTCACTTCCATCACCAATACTAAGAGTCACTTAATAGCAGGGCTCTATCCTGTCAAGGCCCATCTCCTTGAACCAAGCTTCTGGATTTATTTCCTACCCTTTTACTACCTCCATCAAACTTAGCTTCCTAATATGGTTATCCAGCAAACTCTGTTATCCCCAGTCTTGATTAGATCCCCAACTGCTGCTGTTGCTTCTTCTTGTTATTAAGTGCCATCGAGTAAGGTCCGACCCATAGCGTTCCGTACAGGGTTTCTGAGGAGCAACTGGTGAGCTAGAACCACCGACCTTTTGGTTCACACAACTTCACAGTCCAACGCATTAACCCACAGCGCCACAATAGGCTTTGACTCATAGTGACACTACACAGGGTTTCCAAGGCTGTAAATCTTTACAGGAAGAGAAAGTCTCATCTTTCTCCTGCATAGTGGTGGGCTGGCTGAATTTAAACTGCTGACCTAGTGGCTAGCAGTCCCGTGCTTATCCTACAGCCACCACCAGCACTCCTCATACCTTGACTATGCTTTATTAAGCAAACTCTTAACCTGTTAAAAGAATCATTTGTTGTTGTTATGAAGTGCTGCCGAGTCGATTCCGACTCATAGTGACCCTGTATAGGGTTTCCAAAGAGCAGCTGGTGACCTTGAACCGCTGACCTTGCAGTTCAAACGGCTTGGCAAACATCATAGGTTTATTTTATTCTTTACTGATGTTATAGAAAACCGTTGAATAAAAAGCTAAAAAACCCAAATCTTTTATAAATCCACAGTGTAAAGTCACATGTTGTATTTAATCTTGTTTCTCCCGATCCCCTACCTCACCCCAGTACTCAAAAGCATTCCTTTTATAGCCCATTTATTTAACACCTTGTCACAGTTCACCTAGTATCCACTTTCTACTTAAAAGTAATGTAGAGTTCATCTAACACGAATGACTTCATTTGCTCTAAGCGGGGATTCTCCCTCAGCATATGGCTGATTCTATAACTACCCTCTGAAACTTGCCTTTTAAGTTGTCTGTGAGATTTTATTCAAATATTATGTCTTCTCTGCTGGGCTTCCCTATATCTATTTCCTAACTTACAAATAATCATCCAACTAAATTACTGAACGTCACCAACAACTTCTCTCTAGTTCAATGTAAGCGACTCGTCAGTTGCTGCCAATGCTTCTCCTGCCACGTGACGAGGCCTTCCTGTTTCTCTCTGTGCACTTCTTTATCCTTAGCAATTCCAAGTTTAGTCCTCAATACTCTGCTCTCTTTATTCATGCTCTTCAAAAACTCACTTTTCTCATGGTTTTCACTATTGCCTCTAAGTTCTTCACTCCCATACACATTAACAACTTAAAAAAATTTTTACTGTAACAAAATAAGTATTTGTTTTGTAATTTTTGTTTCAATTTGAGTTAAAAGTTCAGATCACTTATTTAGCACTTTTATTTTTATCTAATTAACACATATAATCCTGAAAAATTTCCTCAGAACATTAGGGTGTCTACAGATTTTGATATGTAATGTTTTCATTACCATTTCTAATAGATTTTTTTTTAAACAAAAAAATCCTGAAAAGACAAAGATAAAAATATTAATAAGTTATTTCTGTAAAATTATATTTTATTTTTCCACTTTGTTTCTATCCCCTGAAACAAGTTTTTCTTTTTAAAAACTTAATGAAAATTGTAAATGTTAAGAGTTGTTACAGAAAAAGAATTCAAAGACCACAAATCGTTGTTGTTTTTAACATCAACTCTTGACTTTCATTTGGATTCCTCTGTCTAATGTACAGTTCACACTTTTTTTAGTTAACTCCATCATCATCGCCATATTATTAATACATTAAAAAATAGACGCTGTCATTTTCTCTCCCTACAGTGTTGGTTACTATCCTTATTTCTATCAATGATGCTATAATTTTTATAAGTTAACAAAGGAGTTGTCTCTGTTCAGAACCACCAATAAATGTCTAGTCCGATATTTAAAGAAGCTGTAGGAATAGAGAAAACAATGCAGTAGTCCCACTTCCCTCAAGAGACTTAAAATGTAATGAGTCAAAATAACAAGATACACAGGACTAGGCTGAAACACTCCTGAGGAAACTGCACAAACAAATGCAGGGTCAGGAAAGTTCAACGGTAAATGTGGCAAACAAAACTTAGCCCACTTTGGAATAGAGCATTGTCACTAGCGAGTGTTACATAAGAAACAACAAATATAGTACCCTTGTGCGTTTATCCATGAAAAGAACAGCAATAATGTTTTTATGACAATTTATAGATTTCCCAGTGGGCAGAGCAACGCCTGAAGAATCAGGGTGATAAGGTCTGGACCCCCAGCTCTGTCACTACTAACCAGATGATTTAAGTAATGACTCTGATCTTCAGTTTTTCATGTAATCATGAGACTTGATTTTAGTTAAACAAATAAAAGCATTTAGCAAAATTTTTCACAAAGTAGGTGTTAACTATGTTTTTTCCCCCCAATTAGATTGAAATAAACTATCTTGTACATTGGGGGAAGTTGAAATGAAAGTGCATTGCTGAATATTCTAAAATAAGAGGATGCAGGAACAGACATTAAATGGTGTGGTTAGGTGCCATCAAGTCAATTCTAATTCATAGCAACCTTATGCACAACAGAACAAAATACTGCCCAGTCCCATGCCTACTCATAATTGTCAAGCTTCAATCCATTGCTGCTGCCACTGTGCCAATCCATCTTGTTGGGGGTCTTCCTCTTTTTCACTGACCTTCCCGTTTACCTAGCATGATATCCTTCTCCATGGACTGGTCCCTCCTGACAATATGTCCGAAGTATGAGAGACAAAGTCTGGTTATCCTGGCTTTGACATCCAAGGAGCATTTTGG